AGTCATGATGATATAATAAGTTATATCATCCTGTACTGGAGCGGTTGAAGGGACAATCACTCTCATCAGTATTTTGGCTCATAAAATTAAACAATTTCGAAGCGCCCCCTAGGGTTTTTTCCTAATATAAGATGGGAGATTTTCATGCCTTATTGGTTAGGACCAGTTATTTATGAGGTCATTTGTTTTTTCAAGAAGAAAGAGATGAGCAACATTACTAGTCTTCTTCCTGGTTAATTTTTTATACCCTTCCAAGCCAAACTTAAAGGGGTAGACCTATTTAACCCGCTAACAAACTGTTCCCATTCCTGTTGCCTAAGATCTTGCTTTCTATTATTGCAGTTGCTAGTGCAGCTTGGAACGCTCTGAGCAGGTCTGGAGTTCTCATTCACGATACCAATCATTCTAGCTGCATGTGTTAAATTGCGTAGTTGTGGGTCATTATAGTATTTACAATGGTATTTGTTGCAATTTATGGTAGAAGATTCATATCGTCTTTTTCTGTTTACTTGATTTATGAGCACATTCTCAATAGTGGCAACTAAATCATCATTGAATTTTTGTGTGCCATTTGGCTCGTAATTCTTATACCATTGATCCAAGTAGTCAATGAAGTTGTCTCTGTGTACTGGGTTAAGAAGTTTTCTCCTTCTGTATTTAGTTCCTCGATTTCTGGAGATATGATCAAGACATACAGTTGTGAGTCTTGTGAAATGATCAGGTAGATCATCATCAACTATGACAAAGTCATGCATCGTATATGATACATTAACTCCAAGGAACAGATCTAGTATGTATGTAAATGTAAATGGGCTCAATGGTGCCCTCAATTCGAACATTATCATACTTAGAAATTTCACTAGTTTAGTTCCATTGGTGTTGATTATACACTCACCAATATTCTTATGTATGGCATTAATTAAAGTCTCCAAGAATGAGGGTAGGTTCACTATTGATGTGATCTGGTAAAGCGTGCGTATATTTTAACACCATGATACTGCATGTTTGCTCGACTCTGTAAGGCAAGGAGTGAATGTGACAAGTTCTTTCTAGCATACATCACACAACAGTTGATTGACCTTAAGTTATAAGCTACATATCCAGGCAATTTTGGTGAAGGTACTGGAAGCAATGTTCCATGAAAAAAAATGTAATCGATCCATTGTAATAAGTTATTGCAATCTCTTGCTCATAAGATGGCAAGATTATTATGCTTTATCTACAATGTACAAACACTTCAGATGAAATAGCATAGGCTGTACATTTTTATTTTCATAACCTTTTTCTTCAAGCATTTCCCTGCAGTTTGCCAGCACATTCCTAGGCAATGAAGCCAAGACCCATTGACTTCTTCCTCGCAAATTGCAACTAAGATGGGTGAGCCAAGGACCAGGTTCCAGTAGGAGGAGATGTTGCCTTCAGAGAGGCTGTCGTGAGTCTGACTCTGCGGGAACATTGGTGGCGGGGGCTAACTTCCGCGCATTATGAAATTATGAGCATTATTAAGTTATTGGTAATAATAACATGTTACAGGCAGTGTAAGGGAACATGAGACAGTGTGAGGGAATGTGAGGCAGTTAGGGAACATGTGTCATTCTGAGAGAATATGAGTGAATCTGAGGGAATACGAGTGAGTCCGAGTGAACACGAGAAAGTGTAAGTGAGGATGAGTGACTTTGAGGGCGTGAGGGTAGACAAGCTTACAGAAGGTACGTTCAACCAGGCTGTTGTTAATTGAACACGCCTCGAGGAGACAGAGCCATAAATGGAAGAGAGAACAAAGGACGGGGAATATAAGAAAGTGTTAGAAAAGAAGGATCCAGATTAGAGAAGTGAGGGGAAAAGTATAGAAAGGGAAATGGAGAGAGAGAAGAGAGAGAGAGAGAGAGAGGAGAGAGAGAGAGAGAGAGGAGAGAGAGAGAGAGAGAGAGAGAGAGAGAGAGAGAGAGAGAGGAGAGAGAGAGGAGAGAGAGAGAGAGAGAGAGAGAGAGAGAGAGAGAGAGAGAGAGAGAGAGAGAGAGAGAGAGAGAGGAGAGAGAGAGAGAGAGAGAGAGAGAGAGAGAGAGAGAGAGAGAGAGAGAGAGAGAGAAGAGAGAGAGTGAGAGAGGAAAAGAGAGCTAGAGAGTTTCCAGGGAAAAGATTTATAGAAGGGGACATGAAAGTCTACACTGAGGCTTTTACCCATATATTCTCTAAACGGTTTAGTCAAGGATTGCAAAGCAGAAGGCTCTCTCCCTACCCTCCACTCCCTCATGAAAACACAGTATAAAATATGCTTTACTGGGAAAATAGCTTGGAATTTACAGGAGATAGACATGTATGGAAGGCATAGAGTACAAACTACATATTCTTTTTAGCACTGTTCTTACTTCAGCTTCAGTGTTGCCCACAGAGCTGTCTGTATCAGCGGTTTTACTCTTGGTTGTTACTGGTTCTAGTTCTAGATTCTGTGTTGCAGGTGGATACATACAGTTGAATATTTTGAGATGCTTTGAAGTGAGCAACAAGGCAAAACTGATATGACTTACATGCTCACTCCTCTGCCTCTACTTCTGCCTTCGTTATTATTAGCGTATGTAACTCTCTGTTAACAGTAAGTAGTTTGTTTCATTCCGCTGTACTGAGTTCGCTAAAAAGGGAAACCTTTTACATGCATTCGCTTTGCCTCTCTTGCCTCAATGTTTCATTCCACTGTTTCAAGTTAATGACATCACCTCATTTCCTCTTGGAATATATAAAAGCCACTCAGTATCTTAAATGTTTTAATAAGACCTCGAAGTTTCAGGTTCCTATGAGAGAGAAAGCGAGTAATTGATTTGAGCTTGACCTCCTCTTGTTTTGTTTCTTAATGAGAGTAAAAGCTTAGTTGTCCATCTTTATAAGCTCTCTCGAACGTCATGTTTTTTTGTGTAACATGGAGAATAAAACCCGAGGGCATATTTAAGATGATGTCTGGCAAGCACATCTTAAAGTTAACATAGCATCAGGTACTTTGTACTAGAAATTTCTAGGTATTAAAGTTATCCATTTCACTTGCTTTTCTGCTCGCTCATAGGTATTGACTTAAGAAATCGTAATGACACGATTGCAAATAAACCATACCCCCGGCCGGGGGTATGGTTTCATAGGTATTGTTCGGCATCATTAAGGTCGCAACTTATGGTACCTGGAAGGTCCCTCCCTATCTTCACTTGTGTCGATTAAATTATTGCCAAACATTTTGTATTCATGTCTGAGATTATTCTACCCAAAATTCGTTACTTTGAACTTGTCAACATTGAAACATATCTTCCAGGTCTCCGACCACAGCGCTAACCTCACCTGATCAACCAAGCTGTTTTAAATACTATACATTTTCTTAGTTTGTCTCTCTATGATATTAGTCCTTTCTGGATATGAATTTGACTAAGAGCCGATTTATGTGAAACCCATTTAATGTTTGTCTAACTACTCAGATACTCCATCGTTCAATATCATTCTGTTTCCTGTCTTTGAGCCAGTCACCCTTCCAGGCATATTTGTCGCCTTTACAATCCGCCTATATTTTAGCTAGCAGCGTCTTCGTCCTAGCTTTATATATATATATATATATATATATATATATATATATATATATATATATATATATATATATATATATATATATATATATATATATATATATATATATATATATATATGTATATATATGTCGTGCCGAATAGGCAGAACTTGTGATCTTGGCTTAAATAGCAACGCTCATCTTGCCATATAGGACAAGTGAAAATTTGTGTATGCAATAATTTCGCCAAAACCATTCTGAACCTAACGAGAAAAATATATTTGATTGTGTTTGTTTAGTATTAAATTATTGTAAACGTATTTAAAATATATTTAGTTGGGTTAGGCTAAAATAAATTGATCTTGCTATAATAAGGTTAGGTAAGTTTCCTAAGATTCTTTTGGTACAAAATTAAAAAATTTTACATTAACATTAATGAAAAAATATATCTTTAAACCTATAAGAGAAAATTTCAGAAAGGGCTTAATTTTAAATGAGTTCTTGCTAATTGACCAGTTTTACATATTCGGCACGACATATGTATTATATATATATATATATATATATATATATATATATAATATATATATATATATATATATATATATATATATATACACACACACAGAGAAAGAGAGAGGCAAGTAGGTAAAAAAGAATTTCCTGGGATGTAGGAACGCGGACGACTCTGACAACTTTACCTAGTGGCAATGGTCAGGATTTGATGCTTTATTACGCACTGGGGAAACTTTAAAGTTTTTCAGTGCTCTCTCTCTCTCTCTCTCTCTCTCTCCCTCTCTCTCTCTCTCCCTCTCTCTCTCTTTCCAGTAGCCTCTTACTTTCTTCCAGGTACGCTCTCACTTTTTTCCCAGTCTCTCACTCAGAGGAACCAACACCAGCGTAAGTCCTCGGATCACGGTTAAACATCTAGCTCTACTGGGTGCGTGATTCTTGCAGGATTGAGTTGTCCTGTGGGTTAGAGCGTCGTTATTATCGCTCACCATGAGGCGGGCCAAAACGACATGGGTTCGAGTCCTCGGCTACTCGCATTGTTGTTATTTAATAAATACCACTCGTTCAGTTTACAATACTATGTCTACTGCTTATGGAGGCTAGCACAACAAACCGGGAGTTGAATGGAATTAGCTTAGAAGCACCCACACCACCGTATGTCCTCGGATCACGGTAAAGCACCTAGCTATGCTGGGTGCGTGATTCTTGTAGGATTGAGTGGTCCTTTGGGTTACAGTGTCATGTGATTTTTGCTCACCATGTGGAGGGGCAAAACGACATGGGTTCGAGTCCTTGGTTAGTCGAAGCTTTGTTATTGATTGAATAAAACTTACATAAGCATAACAAAGCAAGAGTCAAAAAATATAATTTGAAAACCTGACAAATTTGACAGTGTTATCATTTATGATAAAAAAAATATGTTGAAAAAAATTCTCCTTTTTTCCAGGTTATGGTGCGGGAGAGGACGTCTCCAGCAGCGCCTCCGGTAACAGGCACTTGTAACTTGAAGCCGTAGTAGTGAGTGGGTAGGGTTGTAGGTAACAATGTGTCTCAACACGAGTGTCGTTGCAAGTTTAGAAACAATGGCCGTCCTTCCCTTAGCAGGTGAAGCTACCGTGAACGTTTCTCTGGATTTGTTTACAAGTGGCAGGAGGGTGCGAGGGTGAGAACGAGGTTTATGATCGGTGTAAAGAAGTTTGGCAGTGATCCCTCAGTGGTTTACGCGCGTCTCGAGACCAGGGGTGAGAGAACACAGGAAGCTAGGGTGAGAATGGCCCATCGTGCATGATCCACAACACTGGGACGATGGCCCCAAGACACCGTGGCTGCCGGTCCATCCAGCTCCTCTGGTGCCCTATCCACGCCCTGGACGTCGTGTGGGCGTGACAAGGGCGTGGGTTACCACAAGAATGAGACTGGCATGGGTGGTGTGGGCGGTGGTGGTGAGCGCTGTGGTGAGCGGTGGCCAGCCTGACCAGGTCCTTAGCCGCCTGGTCTCCACGAAATACGGCAAGATCCAGGGTTTCATCCGTCACCACGCTAGACACCCACTGCAACCCGTCGAGGTGTTCCTTGGAGTACCTTATGCTTCCCCACCCATGGGAGAAGGCCGCTTTACACCCACTAGCAGCCCGCTGTCCTGGGAAGGTGTGAGGCGGTGCACGGAACTTCCGCCTGTGTGTCCGCAGTCACTGGCGGACACGGAATCTGGAGAGCTTCCCCCCGCCCGTGCAGCCCAACTGGCTGCCTTTAGACCACTCCTGCAGCACCAGAACGAAGACTGCCTCTACCTCAATATCTACAGTCCACACGACGGTAGGTTTCGTTCTTTCATGAACTGGGCCCGTAGCCAGGATCATTTCCGGAGCCTATGATCCGGAAGTGTATATATATACAGAGTGTATATAGATACATAGTGTATATAGATACAGAGTGTATATAGATTAATAAAATATTTTCAACAGTTTTTCAGAAAAAAATATTAAAACAAATACTGAAATTTATTTTGCTGATCACAACCTTTCACTAATATGCAATAAATAATATATAATGAATAATTGTCATAGTGCATATAATTATTATTAATATTATTATTCATATTAAACGCAAAACCCATGTGGGACATTCAGCGCAAGATATAGTGGAGGCTTGATCCTCCGTCTCCTAATTAGAGACAGACAAGCTTCCTATTTGTACTCATCTATAATCCAAACATAGAAGTCATGTAGCTAATAATATGTACATATCACAGAACATATGATATTTAAAAGGCTAAGAAACAAAACAGTGCCAGGCAAACTACCATTGTCAAAATATCTGAACTGCTGAATCGATTCTGACACACAGTTGATCTCAGCACAGTTGTACTTGCTCCAGGATACTCACACAACATTCTGCCTTTGCACCCGTAACAGGAAGACTGCAAAATATTCTCGTTGTAATGCATCTGGAAAAATAAAAGTGTTTCCTCCAGATTTGCTGAATTGATACATTTTAAATGCTGTAAATTCCTCAAGTAAATCTCCAGACTCCTCTACGCTATATTTACTACACAAATTTACAGTTATTTCATATCATAGGCATTAATTGCAGGATATTTTCACAAAATATTAAAATTTGACTACGACTTTCTTATTGCCTCATATTGCCCAGTCATGTTTCCAACAAGACAGCCCAGAAGAACATAAAAAAACATTAGTTTTGTGGTGATCTGATCTCGTTACTGTTATTCTCTCGCTCTTCCGTCTTTATTTTTCCAATATTGAGGCTGCTATACCAATGTTTATAGCAACTATCGTACATTCTGATGGGATTATATCCCATTTATTTCTTCGATAAAATTATTCGCCCATCTAATTTACGGTTGATGAATTTCTGACTTTTAGACCATTGCTTCTGTAATCAGTGACTTTGGAAAATTACCCTGAAATTGGAGCCAAAGGATGATCTCTAAAAATTGCTTATCGATAAGAACTGAACGCAAATCCAAACGAGACTCACAAGATAAGTATAGACATCTGATCTAGCATTTCAACTACATTTGTTACATGTTCAAGATGAGTAGCAAGCAGTGTAACACACACTGGCTGGCCAGTGTGTGTGTGATATATTATGTAGGGAACAGTGGCCTCGGCTAATATATTAAATACAAACGATCCTGGTCCTGGCGACCATAGTAAACATGGAAGAGCTCTGTTCCTCTCCCCGTTCCTCCAGCTGACGATGCTCCAGGACCCCTAGTATGTTTCTCCTCATCATAATACTGTGTCTTGACACCTAATAATGCTAGTGACCCATATGTGTTACCTTCTTCGAAATGTTTTGGATCTCAACATGTTTCTTTCTTTACAGTGATATTGTCTCTAATACGTTTCACCCCTTTTAATGCTGGTATCCCGAACGCATTTTGTTCCTTAGCATTATAAATGCTAAAGTTCCCAACACGTTTCACTCCTTATAATGCTGGTATCCCCAACACATTTCATTCCCTATAATGCTGGGATCCCCAATGCGTTTCACTCCTTATAATGCTAATGTTCCCAACACGTTTCACTTCTTATAATGCTGGTATCCCCAACATATTTCATTCCATATAATGCTGGTATCCCCAATACGTTTCGCTCCTTATAATGTGCTGGTATCCCAAACACGATTCACTCTTTATAATGCTAATAATAATAATAATAATAATAATAATAATAATAATAATAATAATAATAATAATAATAATAATAATAATAATAATAATAATAATAATAATAATAATTAAAATTATAATGATGAAACTCAAACCCAAAAATAAGGCAGAGCTTCTCTCACGTCGTGTGGTTCATGGGGTCAGTGGGAGCCCCATCAGCAGCTGAATCAGTGCTGTTGTCTACAGGAGCTCCATCAGCAGCTGGATCAGTGCTGTTATGTACAGGAGCTCCATCAGCAGCTGGATCAATGCTGTTGTCTACAGGAGCTCCATCAGCAGATGAATCAGTGTTGTCTACAGGACCTCCATCAGCTACTGGATCAGTGCTGTTGTCTACAGGAGCTCCATCACCTACTGGATCAGCGCTGTTGTCTACAGGAGCTCCATCAGCTACTGGATCAGTGCTGTTGTCTACAAGAGCTCCATCAGCAGCTGGATCAGTGCTGTTGTATACAGGAGCTCCATCAGCTATTGGATCAGTGCTGTTGTCTACAGGAGCTCCATCAGCAGCTGGATGAGTGTTGTTGTCTACAGGAGCTCCATCACCTACTGGAACAGTGCTGTTGTCTACAGGAGCTCCATTAGCTACTGGATCAGTGCTGTTGTCTACAGGAGCTACATCAGCAGCTGGATCAGTGGTATTGTCTACAGGAGCTCCATCAGCTACTGGATCAGTGCTGTTGTCTACATGAGCTCCATCAGCTACTGGATCAGTGCTGTTGTCTACAGGAGCTCCATCAGCTACTGGATCAGTGCTGTTGTCTACAGGAGCTCCATCAGCTACTGGATCAGTGCTGTTGTCTACAGGAGCTCCATCAGCTACTGGATCAATACACTTGTTCACTTGAGGTCTAATAAGCTGACTGATCAATACTCTCCTCGACTGGAGTTTCATCGGCAGTAGGATCAATACCTCCTGAGCATCGTTGTCGTTGCGGGCCAAATGATATGACAAGCAAAGCACCTAACGTCCTCTGCCTCCAGCCTGCTTCACATAAACTGCTTAAGAGAGAATGGGGCAGTAGAGGCAGCATTTGAGAGAGAGGCCATAACGTCAGGAATTTAGGCAGAGAAGAAACATGTTAAGTGTACCACTATCATGCTGTCATATCAATTTGTGTCTGAGACTCTTCTTAACCTCCCACAGATTTGCTCCAGTTACCTGGTTTGTATCACCCAAGTGAGGGGCACTCAGACTGTTGTGTCTAGCAGAGCAGCAGTTTATGAGAGTCTTAAAAGTAATGGTCGATTGTACGAGGGAATACTCTTAGGTGATAACTCTGAGCATAACAAAGAGGTTCTCGTCCGTGATACTGCGTCCTGATGCTCTTCTGGAAACGATATAAGAGAAACCAAGATCAATTTACTTAAAGATGCTACTGTAGACGCCACTTTGCAGTAATCATATTAATTATGGACACTCTCTTGAATTTCACTTAAATTATGACGAGGCTGCCATACATTGTCGGCGTTGGTTCAGTCTCGAGTAAAACACGAATAATAACGTGATTTTATCAACTAGTAGAGCTACTCTGCTCTTCCTTGGATAAAAATACGAATAATAACGTGATTTTATTAACTAGTAGAGCTACTCTGCTCTTCCTTGGATAAAAATACAAATAATAACGTGATTTTTATCAACTAGTAGAGCTACTCTGCTCTTCCTTGGATAAAAATCGACTACTACACATTACCCTTTGAGTTTAGCTCTTCTCTATAAAGGTATTTTTTATTGATTGAAACTCTAAGAACGGACGTGAAAAATAACACAAAAATTGGTTTTCATGTCATGTAAAATATTAATAACTTCCTAAACTTTCTCCTTAAAATGCACTTTAGAGGGCAAGTTTGTTTAAAAAATAATAATTATATATGAACTTGGCTGGAAAGTGTTGGGAGACAAAGGAAAAATATACACACGGAAGCGGAAGTACAGGCAAGAACAGAATGAGCCCAATGGTTCACCCAGAGGTGCAGGAAGGCCGAAGCTAAAAGTGCTAGAGCATGGAAGATATGGGAAGCAAAGAACACCAGATAATTGGAATAGTGAAGCAAGCAGAAGAAGAGCCAGATAGGAATATCTGTGAGTAACAAGAGAGGCTGAACCACAGTTTTAGAATGACATAGCATCATAAACCAAATCTGAACGGAAGACAACCGGGAGGGATTAGGTAAAGATGCTGATGGAAGGAGTTGAGCTCACTAAAAATGGCCAGGAAATCTATGAGGAGCTGTACAAAAGGTTTAGGTAGGTATGCTCAGTGGAATCAAGAACATTTTCAGAGAGTCCTCGACACAATTCGAACAAGACCAGAGGTAAAGAAAATACTGAGTGAACTAGATACCTCGGAGGCAATGAGATCTCCAGCAGTGATTTTCAACGAATCGATTGAAAGAGGGCATCTGACAGAGGTCAGGAAAATAAAGAATGTAGTCACAGTGTTAGAGAAAGGGGACAGACAGGCGGCACTGAACTACAGCCCAGTATCACTAGCATGCACAGTATGTAAGGTCATGTATTCAATGATCTGGAAAAGAGTAGTGGAGCGCCTGGAGGAGAGTGGATTTATAAACAACCAGCAGGGATCTCGAGATGGTAAATCCTGTTTCACAAACATTCTGGAGTTCTAGGAAAAGGTTACTTAAGTTAAGTAGGAGAGAGAGGGATTAGTGGGCTGTATAGTTTTGGACTGCATGGTGTTCGATACAGTACCTCACAATAGACTGGCACACAAACTAGAGGAACAGGCAGGAATTACAGAGGAAGCTCTAATATAGGTCAAGGAAATAATGGAAGAACAGACTTGAAGCTCTCAGAACTGTCGTAGGGTATACATTCCAAATATGGTGCAAATGTTACACACTAACAAGGACCAAGGACCGTTTTCGGGTCACATTGGGAAACCACGTTGCCAGATAAATTAGGTAAGTTTCATCAGGAAAAAGGACAAGTGTTTTCTGACGCGGGTCTTAGTCTTATGATGACTTGATATTAGAACTTTTGGTTATCTGACCGAGTCCTTCCACTGGCTTACCGGACCACCCCTTTAAAATTTTTAAGATTACATTGAAGTAAAGCATGAGACTGGAGCGCCTCATATGAAAGAGATCTTGACAC